GTATCGACGAAGGCCATTTGGAGGGAAACCATCTTTTCTTTTGGGGATGTGGACGACGTAGAGAGAGAATCGGAGGAGGCAGGAACGGGTTTGCCAGTATCGACGAGCCAGATTGTGGATGGATTGGATTTGGCGGCCGCGAGGACGTACTGCGATTCACTATCGAGAGTTCCCTTTCCGTTGCCGTCCTCAGCCGCGTGCGCTGCGGCTTTGTTAGGCGAGATGACTAGATCCCCCAACACTGGTCCCAAAAGGCCGTTCAGGAGTTCAGGAACGAGTTCGATGATGCCTCTGAGACCAGGAGGCAGAAGGTCGTCGAGGATAGGCATCACGGGATCGAGCAAACCTCGAGCGGAGAGTTCGCGTGTCAGGAGGGAAGTATCTTGGACGTAGTAGGATAGGGGACGGATGTGAATGCTCGGTCCGTTCTGGTGGATACATGCGTAAGTACCTCAACTTCTTTAAGTAGACAATAAGACTTACATCTGTAGTCGAGACATATACGCCCCTCCTCGCAACCGCAGATGGCAAAGGGGCAGGCATGTTTCCTCCCGTTGGAGCGACCACCCCCGTCCCATTTGCTTGGGTAGCTTGATACTTGCTATCCCTAGAATGAGTATGATGGCGATGTTTTCCGTGCTCGCCGTGTTTCCTGTGTCGAGCGTGATGGCTACGGCGCTCGTAAGGACCGGGAGGATCAGAGTCCAGGCGGCGTGGGCCGGGGTAACTCCGTGTGCGGAGAGGTGCATGGTCAATTTTGGAATTGATCGATGTGGAGTCGGCGGAGGGAGAAGAGGAATCAGACGAGGCGGAGCGAGTGCGAAGTTCAATCCTCGAGTCATCAAGTATTCCATCCACCTAAATTAGCTTGTTAAAAGACAAGCACCAAATGAAAAAGAATAAACACTTGCAGTCGGTAAACGCAGCTTGACCAGTTCTCCCACACCGGCGTCCACATCAACGGTACCGCGAGAAGCGGAAACAGTCAACGCATCCGCCACGACGGTGAACGCAAGAACCGCAGCTGTAACACGAGTAAGAGCAATCATCTTGAACAACAATAAATGCGGAGAGACGAGGAGTGGACCAGAGGTAGAATGAAAGGTGAGGATTCAACGAGTCAAATCCATCCTTCCAACCCTTCCTTATATACCTTTTGACGCACCAGACCGCGACATTAACTAACGCACCCACCCACACCAGTATTTGCGGGGAACCCCAAAATCACGTGCAAACCTATTTCGTCCCAAAAAGGAAATGACGGCCGCGCCGGTCCAAAACTCCACACAAAGAAACAAATAGAAAAAGTGGTGGATGTTGTCACGGGGAAGTAGAGCGTTGTACACGTAAGAAGGTTACTTCATTAGTAGACCTTGTCTTTTTTGGGGAAAGGGTGGAAATAGGGGGGAACTAGAAGTCGTCTGAGGAGCGAGGAGGGCGATCGTCCCGTTGACGAGAGTAATCATCCCGTTGGCGAGGAGGTCGAGAATACCGGTCTTGACGATCCCGATTGCCCCCACCATATCCGCCCCTGTTGTCCCGGAAATCCCTATTCCCATCCCTATTCCTGTTCACAAAGTTCCCGCCCGACCTCCGATAATCGTCTCGAGGTCCATTTCGCTGCACATTCAATATCGTTAATTTAAAACTTATTTGTGTGAAAGAGATGAGATGAGAAAGCTTACGCGCTCTTGGGTCCTCTTATCGGTGATGAATGCTACCCTGTATTGAGGCGCCTCGCGGTTCAGATAATCGACAATGTTCCAGGCTGCTTCTTCATGTTCGCAGTCAATAATAGTCAGGTTCCTAGTAGCATTCTACATGAGAAGGAGCACCGAGTTAGAAGTTAAGAGGAGTACGCACCTATAATCTCCAGTGTCACGGTCTCGTACTAGCCAAAATTTAGTCACGACGCATAGTGGTCAACGAGGGAACTCACCAGGATTCTGCCTTGCAACACCTGGCAACGCCTCGATCATAGCTCTAATCTCCTCTACTCCCTCATCATCAGTCGGCGTCCCAATAATCATCAAGGTCTTCGTTGGCATCTCATCATACAACGGCCGCCCAAACGCGAGGTTGTGTTCACGCAGAATAACATCCCCAATGGACGCTCCGAGGAGTGCTTCTTTTGCGTCAGCGGCGGCTTCAGCGTCTGTAAATGCTACGCCAGCTGCGCCGAGGAATTGGTTCTCTTTGCTCGTCACTAAATACATAGAGCTCGAAATTAAATCCACAATAGGAAATTGAGAAGTGGTACGTACTCAAGCGCAATGCCTTGAATCCACGGCATTTTTCTTTAACAGCCGCCACGATTTGCAGGTATTGCACATCAGTCGGCAGACCGGTCAACTGCAATACGTGCGTCTCCTCGTTGCGCACTTGAGACCGCGCAGTGTAGGGGTTAACGACTGTCTCATATCCTTGCACACGAATAGGAGAATCGCGCATTGCATTCGCAGCAGCCTCGGCAGCTTCCTCGGACTCAAAGTGAAGGAAACCAAATCCGCCTAGGAAAAGGTCGGATGGTTAAATGGAGGAGATTTGGGGAAATGCGCACGGTGGGAGGTTCCTTGATAATCTTTCAGAGCTCCCGAGTTGAAGACTATCCAGGCATTAGAGTATGCATGGAGCTACACGTATCAGGACTCACCAAGCTCGCTGTTGACGAGTCCGTTCAATCCAGAAAAGGCACTCTTGAACTCGGCATCAGTCGTCTCAGGATGGACGTTCGAAACGTGCAGAGACTTGGTGTTCGAAGATCGAGGAGCACGGAATTGAAGGCCTTGCTCTCGATCAAACGAGCGGCCTTCGCCATATCGATCCCCACCCTCTCTCGGCCTCAATCGACGGGGTGGCTGTCGCTCGCGTTCGCCATACGAAAGATATCTCGCACCAGCAAACGCAGAAGGAATGACAACAGTCCGAGACGTTCGAGCCAGACCCAGTAAGACACCCGAACGTTGAACGGCTCCTGCAATGCGGATCATCGGAAGGATAATTTCGTGGTCGAGTTTGAGATGAAATATTCCGTTGCAAACAGAGCCGTAACGATGACGTTACAGCGCGGCGATCAAACTTAGGTCATCAATCGCAGCAGGTGCGTAAGCGCTGATGTACAAGTACCAGACTTAGCCACCACGTCCATATCCTCCCTCGACCACATCACTCTTGTTGATCTCTTACCGCACACCTTATAAATTGACGTCTCAAGTTGCTTCGTATCGGCACCATATCAATTCTGCTCCATAGCACTCGTCTAACGGCTTGACAACCACTACTGCGGCACCGAAACCAGCCACCATGCCGAGCGGGATTGAGGTCATCGTTTTTCTCCTGGCCATGATTGGCCCCATCTGCCTAGGCCTCGCTATATCGGTGCCTTTCGCAGGCGCAATTGTTCGGTGAGTCTCACTCATTTCGTTCCTCTCCCCTCGCCCGCACCGCCCGCTCGTTACCTAACGACCATCATATCCGCTCCGGACAGCCTGCGCGCAAACTACACACCCAAAGGCCTTCAATTGAACCAAGAAGAAGATATCAACGGAAGCAGCCACGTCGCGCCGGAAGCTCGCGTCGGACCGTCCGTAAATGGAATTATAAACATGCTGCGGAGGATTCGTCGTCTGGAGGGTTGGCCTGGTTTCTACAAGGGATTCAGTGAGTTATCAAAGTCATTAACTCAGAGTTCATACTTAATATATCTGTGATTAGTGCCTGCGCTTGTGTCGACAATCCTTATGACGTTGTGGGCCGTCATCACCATCCCCGGACACGCCAAGTACCGTCCCCGTTCACAGGTGCATGTTCCCGCCACCGGTATCCTCCGCAGCCTGTTCTACAGCGCGGGCGCGCTTGTTGTCGCTATTCCCTACGAAATCCTCTTTAACCGGTAAGCACCCCGGCATCTCCTATTCCATGCTTCTTGACTTCCTCCAGACGCGATCGGGCTCGAAACTGATACACTTCGTCTGCAGGGCTGTTTGCACGCCCCACCGCCTTCCCTGGTTCAAGCCGATGGAAGCGCTGCGTATTATCTTGACACCGTATGAGCGTCGCAAGCCGTGGATTCTGTACTTGACTCCTGGTCTTCTCGCCGCTCGGTACGTCATCCTACCCAATCTCATCGCCCTCGGCGTTCTTTGTGCGTATGAAGTATCCTAACTTGGGTTTGTTAGGTTGGCCATTATCGTTTGGATTGTTGCTGTCGCTCGTGTCCTGCGCTCCTATCTTCTCCCCTCCGTAAGCCCTCAAACCACCACTACTAAATCCAACGCACCTAACAATCTTACCTGCACAGCTCGCCAGCGGTCTTTCCAGCGCCCACGACGCCGACGACCAAAACCGCATGACCAAACACGTCAACCTCATCAACCTCACCATCTTCACCCTCTTCTCAGCCTCCTCAACCGCCATCCTCTGCCCCCTCGAAGTCCTCGCCACCCGTCTCTCCGTCCAGCGTAACCACCCCACCACCGACGCCGACTGCGCGATCGACGGGATGTCCGACCCCGCGGCGGATTATATCGGCGAGGAGGAAGATGTGATCGCGTTGAGGAGCGAGGAGGACCCGTATACTGGTTTGGGCGATTGTGTGAGGCGGATGATTGATGAGGAGGGTGTGGGGAGCTTGTTTAGGGCTTGGTGGTTGACTATGATTGCGGTCACCCTTGGCGGGTTCGCTTAAGCGCCCTTGCCGAGGAGTGGAATGAAGTCGCCACAGGAGTCAGAGCGGTGCTGGTGATTAGGTGCACGAGGGAGAGGCGGTGGCGAAAGAAGCGATGGGCATAGTGAGAATTGCTGTACTGCCTGAGGTCAGATTGTTTGTTTGTATAGTTTTGGTAAAAACCCGTTGTGGTTTCTCGGACAATTGATATAGTTTGTCTTCTGCAACGCGCGTTCGTCGGTCCGAAATAATAATTAAAACACCCAGCATGGAGTCAGTCTCCCACTGCATCATTGTGAATCGTCCCGTAAAAGTCGATAAATTCAAAAGGCAATGCCTCCACGCTGGATTGAACAACGGACCTCATCATGACGAGTACCAATTATGGAATACGAGTGATGCGCTCTACCACTGAGCTATAAAGGCTTGTTCGCTTGCGCCCGCACAAGTGACACAACCGCTGCACACAAATGACACCCCACACCGAGACCGCACCATGATTACCCGTACCCGGGCACTCGAGCCCAATCCCATAGTCTGTGACAGCATCCCTCCATATCCGACATGGACATGATGACCGATGTCCGCATCCGGAACCACCTCCACGTCGACCGCCAAATCACGACACACGTTCTCTCGTAAATTAGGCCGGGATTTTCAGCCTCCTCGACGGGGAGCCTTCCGCGTCGGGTCGAGCTGTCCGATAGACCGTAAGGTTAGTCCTATACTGTATCCTGTATCCATCTTCGGGCAACGGTGGGCGACGCAAATTCCACACGTGCTATGCCCTTAGCACCCAATCAACCCTTTGTATTTCGTGACGATAAGATTGCACAGGTCGATCAGCAAACTAAACATAGATTTGACAAGAGGCACAGGAATATGAATAGGACCCTAACGGACAGAAGACATGAATGTGGCAGTGCGGGCGGCTTAGATCAAACGGGGCCAATCTAATTTAAAACACAGCCAGATCAGGCAGTGGCCGCGTGTTACTGGTGGGGTATATAGAGTCCCCAGTGCCCAACGGATCGAACTCATCTGCTCTCTTCCCCTTCTCTCATACGCCTCTTCCGGTATCGACAGGAATAGAATACGAACACCAGACGACTTACGAACGCTCGATTAATTGGATACACTTGTTATAATGTCGCCTACACGCCATTTCTGTTGCTGCCTGCCTGTCCGGTTGGGCGTGTTTGTGCTCTCGATTGGGTCCATTATTGGGTCTGGGGCGTATGCGGCGACGATTTGGTATGCGGTCTACAGTGAGTCTATATCAACTAGTCTAATTGGGTGTGATAAGCTAATGGACGAGCTTAGTGTCCAAATTCAAGAACCAGATGACGCTCGATAAGCCTCAAGAAGTCGCATTCGTCGTAGCGGGATGCATCTACACCGTCCTCTTCTTCCTGTCCATTCTCGGGTACGCTTTCCGCGCTATCATTTCACATTATTTGATACTAATCCAACGCACATAATCCAGTCTCATTGGCTCAATCACCCGTCGCCGCGCACTCGTTTCCGCATACGCCCAAGCGTTATGGTATATGGTCGGCTTCCAACTCGCATCTGGCGCCTTCTTCATCTATACACTCTACCGCCAAAATGACGCCAACATCCAAAAATGCATTGACGAAGTCAAGGCTCAGAACCCAAACATCACCAACACCAAAGACTTATGCATAGTCGCCACTCGCGCATGGAAGATCGGATATATCGTTGTCTTCATCGTTACTCTCCTCATCCACGGCTGTGCGTCTTTCTTTCTTGCTCGGTACCGAAGTCGTGCTAATTATAATCTGATGTACAGATTGCGCCCTGATCGTTTCTCGCTATGTTGAGCAACTGAGCTCCGAACAATCTTACCGCCACACGCACAAAAGCACTACCGCGGCATTCTCCACGCCCAACGCTGGGTCCGCGTACTACCCTCACCATCCGCTCGGGCAGAGCACCGATAACCTCACGCAGCATCACGACGGGAAGCACGATGATGGATATAACTTTGCGGC